ATGATGTACAGTAGTGAGTGCGTGCCGCATCTTAAAAAGGATTGATCATTAGGGAAGACCTCAAAATCTACCCTTTGTCTTAGGATGTCGAATATTTCACCTTTTGTAGCTAAAATGGTAGGTGTCTTCCCCTATACCACGTGAATGTGACAAGACAATCGTAATATGCCGCGCTGGTAGGCGTGGCGAGCGTCTCCCCTCCGGACGTGTTGACTCGCATGGCCGTTTGGATATAGGTGTTGAAACGATGCGAAAGTTTGAAATCCCGGTCATGGAGTCGTGCCTCTACCTGAAATCATGAGTTTGCTCAGATCGACGAGCTGATGCACACCGATAGCTTGCCGCGCATGGCCGCACAATACGCCGCGAGTGACGACGCGCTACGATTGCAACAGCGCTCCAAAGCTTCAGAAATGAATGCAGCCCCAGACGGTCGATCGGTAATTGTCTACGTGACTAAGGCAGCGTTCAGACTTCGCGACGGCAGCGCTTCGGTCGCGCGTTCGACGCGATCGATGCAGTCGAAAGCATGCGCATCAGTCGTCAAATCGCGCGATTGGAGCGCCCCGCGAAGTCTGAACGCTGCCTCAGCAGCATCAACATCCGTTCTCCCATACTCCCTTGAAATACAAGCGGTCGGCGCCCATCGATCAAGCGCTCGCGGACGGGAATCGATCGCTGCTGGTCGCCTGCTGCTGCGCTCCCGTACACAGCCTCGGAGCGCTATTGTAATTGTAGCGCGTCGACGCGCGTTATTGTAACTCTGAACGCTGTCTTATACGTCTCCCTCCTATCACTTCGACAAATTATCAGTAGCTTGCCTGCTATATGAAAGTGTTGAAAGAATAAAGATCATTTTGGCAATGAGATGCTCAAAGTTGGTAGTTCTCATGATTATTACCACCTGTAACCTCCTCTCGACCACCATTGATGTAAAAGGTAATCTTCTGGTTCTTAAGTGAAAACGTGAAAACAGAGATAAAGAGAAATGCGGCCTTACATTCCACTCTTTTCATCTCGCGCCGCCAAACTCTGCGAAGAGCCGATTAGACCACTGACCGCTCATTCTTGCTGACAACTTTTCCCCCCCTGCTGTCACAGATCCTCGAAGAACGTTGGTGATGCTAATAAGGAAGCCGCAAATGGGTTCGAGTCTGGAATGCCATTCGAACGAAACTACGATATCAGTCTTATTAGGAGGTGGAAAAGCCATAGTAAGGAAAGTGACATGAGCTCACTGATAAGGACCGCAGTCGCTTTTCTGCAGCGCAGCGATCCACCAGCCGGACGCATGCAGCGATTCGAGCGGTTCTTACCCAGCCGTGGAGCGAGCTATTTAAAGTGACTATATACCTACTAGTGCAAACGGACAGGTCTTACCCACGTCTGTCAAGCGATCACCAGCGTGCCAGATAGAGACGCATTGGGTAGTAGTAGTACGGGTCGATTGCACGTTTTCGCCTAATCCAGCTATCTCCTCCACTCTTCCCTTCGTCTCCCCCTACTTTTCCACTCTACCTACATACTGTCTAGCCCTCCTACTTCCCCATACTCTCTATCCCTGGTTGCTGGTGGACGCTGGTTGCTGCCGTCCGCATGAACGATATCTGTACTTTCCTAGTCGCTGACGCTGATGTTCGCTAGCGGACGCTGGTCGTCGCTAATGCTCGCTGTCGCAAAGCATGAACGCAGCTTTAGGCTTCATGCAGTGCGTTTTTCAACTACTTGCACGCACGTGAAGCGACTTAGGCGTAATTTTTGAGCGCTCCTCCCCCAATCATTGTCTACTGTAATGGCCAAAGCGGCCAAAGATCAGCCAGGATTAGACCAGCTGTTTTCGACCGCAATTCTGCTAAGTTCTAGGTAATTCCACAATATCACGGAATCGGAGAAGCTCTATGAAAAGGGTAAGTGTTCCAATGTCACGCCGCTTTATTCAAAGGCGCTCAGTACTGTAATTCTAATAATACGTGTACTACGTTGTAACACGTGTTGGATAATTATGTTCTGTAGGGGAGGAGCTTCCAGGGCAGAGGAGGAATTCTTCACATCAACGAATTACTACTGAACGAAATGCATTTGGGATACATACCCAACAACAATGTGTCTGTCACAGTATCTATCCGAGACGCTGAATGCTTCTGTAGGTCACTTTTTGTCCAATAAATCCTATTTTCTGTCGTATAAGGCGCATTTATTCGCCGAGTCGCAGTACGCTCGATACAAACATCACTTGGTTCTCTGTCCTTTATATAACACTCGATACGTTAGATGGCGGCTCCGTTTAGCATGGCGGGCGGCTCGAGAATTAGTGCGCAAGCTGTACACCCTAACAAAATGCTGCTACGATAGTTAGGCTAACCGTAAGCACATGGGCATTCCAATAGGCAGAAGATGCGGAGCCAAAGGAAGTGTTTGTTCGCTCGTGATGGGTGTTCGTGTCCGTGCGGGCTTTCTTTTGCGCATACCAACAAATCCATACCCTCAGTTCATGGAGTGACAACAACCTAGGTGGAAACGCGGTGAAATATACGATACATTCCTATTAACGTGCCGAAGAAAGGAGGAAAAAAGGGTGACTGGCGCGGCAAATGCATCCAGACCGACGATGCAGTCCGCTTTCGTCACGCCAGCAGAACCGGCTGCCCTTAGCTAATGTTAGATTATCACAGTTGTCTGGTATTTAGCTGCCCGCGACAGACAAGATCGTCATTTTCTGTTCACTTGGCTGCAGTCGACTTTGACAACAAGTTCCATTCGTGGATAACAATACAGTCGGAACATTTCCGTTACTAATGAGGAAACCGGACAACGACATTTCTCAGTGAGAAGATTATAAATCGTTGGCTTCATTTCATTCTGGACTATGAGTACAGTCATTTCAACAAGCCGCCTAGGAGATGGCTGCACTTCCATGCCCGTCATCCCACAATACAGCTAGAAAAAGTCCTAAAAAAATCTATTTTAAGGGCTCGTTCAGAGGAAACTTGCATGGTACGAATTCTCTGGATGAATGTTTCGAAGAGGTATAGCCTGAATTTACATTCTTGGGAAGTAACTATGGTGCCCAATTCCTTCTTGTATCAGGGCGCCTCTTAGCTCCCATTACCCTTGAACGGTGCAGTTTCTTAATCTTCAGGGAATAATTATAAAAAATTCTGTAAAGGTGTCGAAAGCTGCAGGATGCTAGGAAAGGTTGGTCACGTAGTAGGAAGGATAGGAAAAGAAGGTCTCACCAGAGCAAAAAAATGGGACGTACTTACGTTAAAGGAAGTGCTTACACCGCCATTCAACAAATACGCTGCTGTACTAAGAAATCTTCTACGTAAATGCATTGATAGGCAAAGGTGCTATTGTCGCGCCCTGGTCGCAAAGAAGGGATCGACGCTGCGATAACAACTAAATTCGTGAGCACGCCCCTTCTAGGAGACGTGATATCCGCTCTATATCGCCTCCTAGACACTGAACAGGTCTATGGTACAAGAAGCTTATTCGCGTAACACTTCCTAGGAGAAGAAACAGTTATGATGGAGCTACTTCTCATTGTATTTTTTATTATGGAAAATTTTTTAGTCATATTTTGACTGTGCTCCACGAGCTGATGCTGTATTTATCCGATTCGACAATCAACCAGAAGATGCATGGGCTATCGATGAAATTTTGTAGATACCAGTGAGGAGCACGAGTTGGTGTTGAAGATAGTTTTCACGGTGATCGTATGGGCGCAGTCGTGCGCACTGCGCTTTTCATTGGCACTTCTTTTCTCCTTACCATCTTACCTTCTCCATTGTTAGAATGGAGAAATCGGGCGGGGGTATGGGAAACAACAAGGAGAGGCACAATGGCACGCCCCACTTCGAGCATACTATCATCGTGTACCACCTTGCTCCGTGCGGACGCAGGGGCGTGTCAAAGAGGCCGGTTTTCGGCGCGGTACGAACTCGCTCTACGCCTACAGTGACCGACTGCCCGCTTCAACAATCTGTGGAAAACGAGTTGGCACCGCGCTAAGCCCATCCAACTTGAAACGCCCCAGCATCTGAAGCGATCAGAAGTGTAATGCGGCTCGCCCTTGACAGTCAAGTCATGGCACCTCTACCACTTACTGTTAGTCTCCAAACAATGTTGTTGGCAAACTTTCAGGCAAAAGTGGCACTTTGAACATCCTGTCCTGATGCCTTGCACTTCATGGCTGGACGACACGCTGACGTATCAAATAGGACCCGCAAATGGGGTTTTTATCACTCATGGCTATCGATATGGCGCTGAACCGAACGAACTGATACGTGAATGAGTGCAATAACTGTTCTTTGTCAGAAGTGTCTTGCTCTTCTAGTTTTCACCCAAAACAATTACTGTAAAACGAAGAGTTAATAAATTATTTGAACGCTGGTGTTTGGAAAAAAACGATGAGAACCACTATGCGAAACATCCCAAAAGTCTGTCAGCACTGTCCCACGTGCGAAGGGGGGGGAGGCAGTAACCGAACGAAATCTCGGTGAGAGTGCGCAGGCTAAGGAGGAGAGCGCAACTCCACAAAATGGCTCTACCGTTGTCATCTTCTTTGCGAATTCTAGCTAACCATTCTCTAGATCCCCTCCAGTGTAGTTATAGGGAGCCGCTCGGCGGCACAAGAGCGCTATTTGGCCCACGCATTCAGATCGGAGCCCGCCGTTGCGTTGGGTAAGATTTTGGCTAGCTAAGACTTAACCGTTGAAATTTCCCCTCGTACGACCCTTTCCACACCTATATTTCTCCTACCAAATGCTCCTTTTATCAGGTTCGGAGTTCGGATGAGGAGGGGGGAGAGAAGACACCCCCACTTTATCAATAAGAGTATCTTCAAACGCCGGCAGTTCAAGGTAGTATATGGCGCGCAACGCTAAAAATCGGCTAGGACTTTTTGCCGAAACATCACCCCCTCCTTGGCTGCCAAATACGACCCCTACGCTGTGATTTACACAAAGAACGATGCATCCCACCTCAAGTCCCTTGCCTGTGGGTAAGAATGGATCAGTTACCTCGGTTGGAGGAAGAACCAGAACGACCGAAGCCACCGCTGGCGCCATACTCCCTGCCCCTTTCCAACACCATTCGCAGATCATTCTCAAATATAACCCTGTTAACGGCAACACCTATCACAATGCCTCGGTTGCTGGATTTTCTCTACGAAAGTTTCCAGCTCTCTTGCTGATGCATTGCTGCTATTGAGTGTAGGCTCGTATCTTTCCACATTTGCGGGAGGCAGAGATCATCACTGCGGACTACCCGCCCTCCAGTTACAGCCGGCCGCCATCGAGACTACGGCGCCACGTCTATTTTTTTCTCGCTCTTGTCCTGCTGTGCTAGACGATGAGTTTCACCAAGGCAAAGGGGCAGAAGCACTACCAGCAGCACTTAATCACCACTAATAAAGGCCTACATTCCTACAGCGTGATAGCAGCATTGTTTGGGTTTACACTCACAACCGAATGATAACACTAATTCTTCCGAGTCGAAGGAGTACCTCATTTATGACCACTGGATTCTTCAAGCTGGTATTTTTCACGTCCACTGTTGCAGCTGTGTTACTGCTCACCGGAAGCGGCCGAGGTATGACCTAATCAGAGAAGATAAAAAAATGAGTGCCCATACTATTAAGTGGGTGAATCTCTGAGCGAGCTCAATGCTTTTGGGACTTTTGAGCAAGTCCCAAAAGCATGAGCTCTGGTTTGCTAAAGCGAAATTGGTGCTAGGTGCCTTGAGTATCTTTCACAAGGAGAAGGCCCATTATCTGCCTTTTTTTGTGGTGGGTGTCAGGAGTCTACTGCGCCACTGTGCGTTTGGAGCGCCGCCATAAACACGATGCGGCCGACAAATCGCTTTATTGTGCATCAGTTTTGTCGATTGGAAGCAGCCGATACCTCGTAAAACTTCAAGGCGGAAGAGGGACTGCATATCGGGACATTAAATTTCCCCCCATTAGCACTCCGTCTCCACACATTTTCGTTATCTATTTATCTTCTTTTTATCTTCCGTTTAATCCTTGCGGATTTTTTATTTTGAATATTAGGAGAAATTGACAAATTATACAGATAAAATTGACATCGTTTCAGATAACAACGCAACACTTCAAAATCAGACGCGGAGTGAAAACGACGTAGGTATTCTAACGACAATGAGCTGTTTGCATCACACTTTTATTAGATGGAAGTATTTAAGACGAAAGTTATGATTTCCAGTGCAACAGGCTGGTCACGATGCAGCCTCCTTGGCACGGCATACCGGAATGTCCAAATGTTCACTTTGGGGCTCCTGGCACGTGCATATCTAACCTCAACCCGAAGATGTCCACTGGAATATTCATCCTGTGGCGACACGTTGAAAGGCTGCGTTGCGTGTGATGCCACGGTCCATTCGCCAGGACAAACTTCGGCGTATTACCCGTATAGATCCCCCAACTAGGAACTACAATCCTAAGACAGTGGCTAGGGCTTCCTGGGAGGTTTGCGAAAGAGGATCGGCTCTTCTTGTGAAACCACAGACTCGGATAACGTTGGGCTAGAGCAGTGCGAACCTAGGACTCTTCTGCCTTCCCCGTCACCTTCGCAGCACGTAAAAGTTGAGTACCCGCTGGGTCAGCGTGAACCCAGGGAATGGTAAACAAAGAAAGTAGCCTAGGGATTAAAGACAGCCTCTGCGGCTGACCACGATGTGGAGGCCCTTCCATGGACCACTCCTGTTCGATAGCAGCGGCAGGGCTACCTTCTCTGCCCGTTTTCTTCAGGATCCCCGCTATTATCATATATCATATTATCGCCCTCATATCGTTCCACTACAGAAGGTAGAAGGGTTGGTTGCCTTGACCGGAAGCCTAGTTGGGATTTGATTCCGAACGCGCGTCGTGAACGGGTTGTGGTAAGCGGGTTGTTCCAGCCCGTGTGAAATTACGACTGAGAATTGTAACTGTATTACTTAAAAATTGGGTATGTGATAAGAGAATCGTAATTCACCGCGTTGGTGGGCGTCGCGTGCGACGTCGCACCCGCAAATGACGATGGTTCCAGGTAGTAGATGGCGACAACAGGCAATTCAGAACCGAAAATAGTCATGAATGTCTACGACGGGGTCTACATGAAGTCCGGTGCTCCAATCGACAGGTTAACACGAGTTAAGAAAACGCCGCGCCCATCGCCGCGCGCGGCGGAGCGGCAAATTACGATTCTCTTGCCCGTCTCCCCTTGAAAATAGGCGATTGCACTTTTGAAGGATAATA